TCTCTCCCGAGATTGCCACCGTCTCGAAGCCACCCCGTGACCTCCTGAAGAAGGACAACGGCTGGACTCGAGCCCCCGCTAACAGTCAATGTTCGAAGAGTGGAACGTTACCCTGCCAACAGACCCTGTCTTGGCACTCTACTCACCGATGCACTCCACCCTGGTATCGTCAGACGTATCGGGCTATGGCATCTGTGTAGTCCTCTCGCAACAACAACCTTCTGGCGAGTGGAAGCATGTTTCCTATGTGTCTAGATCACGGACAGCTACGGACGTAAATATGCTACGTTCGAGAAGAAAGGCCTTTGTCATCACTTGGGCTTGTGAACGCTTCAGCGATTACCTCACTGGCAAGCGATTCATGGTTGAGACAGACCACCAGCCGCTTGTTCCCCTGATCAGCTCGACCGCAGTTGATAATATGCTGCCTCGTGTCTTACGGTTCTGTCTGGGTCTGATGCTGTTTGATTTCTCGATATCACACCTGCCAGGAAAGCAACTAGTCATTCCTGATGCACTCTCTCACTCTCCTGGTCTACAGTCGTATTGTGCTAATGCTGTAAGTTTCATCGGAGAGGTTGAAGAGTTTGCCTCCGCCACTGTTGACAGCATGCCGGCCTCTGATGCTCGCCTGGCAGAAATCTGAGACCATCAGCTAAACGATCCGGATTGTAAGTTACTTCGCCAGTATGTCGAAGGCAGCTGGTCACATCCCAAACATGTTCCACCTTCAATTCGGCTATAGCACAACGCTGAAGACAACTTAACTGTATGCTTTGGTCTACTTATGTATGGACAAAAGATTGTCATCCCAAAGTCCTTGCGCCTGATGTACTCGAGCGACTCAACTCGGGCCATCTTGGCATCACGAAGTGCCGTGCCCGTGCCAAGCAGTCAGTGTGTTGGCCAGGATTGAGTGTACAGCTGGCCAATTTCATCGCGCCCTGCAAATCATGTGTTCAACACTCACCGCCCGAAGGTTTAGACGCTCCGTCCTAGCACTCTTCCCGACCTGCCATGGCAGAATGTTGCAGCCGACTTCATGCAATTCGACTCCGCAAACTACCTGGTTGTAGTATATTATTACTCCAGATATGTGGAGTTAGCATGTATGTCAGCACTGCCTGCTTAGGCCGCGGTCACACCGAAACAAGCCACTTTGGGCTTGTTATCGCTTGCGCTCAGCTGGCTTGTGTGCTCCCTGTCGAGCGGTCACACCAGACACCGAGTGCAAAGCTTGAATGGCTTGTTTTTTTGCCCGCCAAATTTGGAATATCTCGAAACACACCAACGTTCGCGAGAAATCGGAAAGCAGAACAGTGGCGATCTACAACTTGTGTTCAGTTTTGATGAAGAAGTAAAAATCAAGAACAACAACAACAAGAAGCAAAGGAAGCCCGGATCCTGAATTGCGACTTCTTGCTCTTTTTATTCGTTCGGTGCACATGGACGCGATGATTCGGGTGACGGTGTTTCCTGATTTTGAGCTTTCTGCTCCACCGGTTGCTGTTCTTCAATTCCATCGCAATCCACTCTCTTCTTCGTACCTTTCTTCATGAATTCAGTCGTGAGTTTGGTGCCTTGTCTTGGCCTCATACCACCGCTCCAACATTCTACGCTCTAGAGGAACCGGCAGTCCAGGAATCCATGTTCATCAGAGAAAATTCAGAAAATCAAACTGAACTTTTGGATAGACAGACACTGTCAAAACCAAAGCCAAGGCGACGGCATACATGTAGCACGGAAACAAGAAGGAACATCGATGTCAGTTCGCCGCCTCGTGTTCACTACAAGTCTACATGAATGGTGTGTACTAAGCGCACTCCAATATTTTTTGGAATTTCGGCTTTCAGCCGCTTGATCAAGCTGTGGCTAAAACAAGCTGAAAAAAACCGCTGCGAGTCAGCCACGGCTGAAAGTCGCTTGCAGGACATTTTTCAGGCATTTCCATGGTAATCGTGACGTAAACAAGCGCTTTTTCGGCTGAATGGCTGAATCGAGCTCGGTGTGATCGCTGCCTAAGCCTGTTATCAACGAGTTGTAGTCCATCTTCGCAACCCATGTTTTCCTTGAGACGTTTGTCTCCGACCATGGCCCACCGTCCAGGGCGTACAGCTTGAAACCTACCTGCAGCAGTACGGCATACATCACCACACCAGCAGTCCGCTGCATCCACAGGGCAATGACCTCGCCGAGCGTACGGTCAGAGTCAGTCAAGTCGCTACTAGTGAAAGGGTCTGGCCTTTAAGGCGCGCTGCTAAGCTATTGCTCAACATCCCTCGAATGCAGGTTCAACCCAGCATAGCTTCTCATTGGCCACCATCTACAGTCCCAGACAACACTCAGCTCCTCGCGGCGGGAAAAATTGCAATTGCGGAACATGCTTTTCGTCCTTTTTCCTTCAACATGACACTGCGCAACGGTCAAAACCCCACACCATGATGGCATAGATTGCCGCATGTGTGGCTAGCAGGTTACCGGGTCCCTAGCTTCGCCAAACCATGAACATTGACAGACAGTAGAGCCGTGAGTATGCCTATGATTGTAATGACTACACCGGGGAGTCGCAACTCTCGAGTGAAAGCCATGACTACCTGGTCTACACTATACTAGCACTATGACTCGTTGATTGTCAAGATTACAACAAGCAGTGATTACTGCTACATACTTCCTCCGCGTCCTTAAAATTGCCACTGCGCACATCGCAATGTTTGTGACTTGGCTCATCTTAGTCAGATGGTCCGAATCTCTGTTTTCTGTGTTCGAACATTGGTGCGACCCTTCCTGCGCAATGTCTACTTGTTACTGAAGCTGTGGTGGTCTCGAACTTTGTCGGAGCTCTCTTGCGCACCAAGCAAATTCATCGTGCTTCGCACTAGTCCGTCCCAGAGCGCATATCATTATTCTGGAGTTCGTGCTGTCCCACATCGTTCGCGCGGTCATTTTAAAGCTGCAAGCTCGAGTGTAAGACTCCTGGTATCTCTCCTGAATATGAAATGCTGAGGTTGACAATGGCAAGAACAAAGTGTTCTCAAATTCCTAAAATGTGGTACTTGTGGCGCATGGTGCTGCGAAGGTAGCAGGTCTGAAAACCCCAACAAAATCGGCGAAGCGCTGGCCAAGGAAAGAAGGTGCGGAGCTGCTTACCCTATCCCGCTGGAAGGTCGTTACAGCGTACTTGAAAATGCTAGCTTGTCTTCATCGCCTGCCACCTGGAGGCATGGATCGCTTGAAAACGAAGTTTCTTGACCTGAATTTGAACGTGCGTCTTGTTCAGCGTATTGTTGAGTGCTGAAGGGTCTGTCTCAAACTCTGATGAAGACGTCGACCTTAGCTGCAAGTGCAGCGAAGCGGGAGGCCACAAACTAAAGCTTGGTCCATTGACAATGCTCTGCCTCAATTTCTAGCTGATTTCTTTGCCTTTCGAGTGTAGAAAACAATTTGGAAAAATCGCTGTGGGAAGTGACAGTTTTAATGACGCGTAGGAAGTACATGTACATGTACTAGTGTTGCACGCTCACCGGTGCACTCACTAAACTGCATTGAAAACATCATTGCAAAGAGGTGCGTTTAGCACATTAGAGGGGTTTCCGGGCAACAGGAACCTACCCCATGCGTACGCGCCTGCACTCATTTGCCAAAGGTGCACACTCTTTGCTTATAGACTCGTGAGTATTACAGTTCAAGAGATTTCTTAACTCACTGTGTTCTCTACGGAGACCATGTCGGGCTGGACATCTAGTAGATACTTGACGACTTCCAGATGTCCAGTCTTAGCAGCGTAATGAACAGGAAGGTTACCAGCCTGTGTGCAGGTAAAAACAAGATCAGACATTCATATATGCAACCTATCTGCAGTCTGTTTCTTATATAATATGATGCGCAATCTACTGCGAGTCACGGGATTCTAATGTAGGCTACTCTGATTGCTCATTTGGCAATGTTCCTCTAAGCTAGGTCCCGAAAAAACAATTGAACACATTAGCATTTCACGATACACGACAGTGTCTTCTAAACACACACACACACACACACACACACACACACACACACACACACACACACACATACACACACACACACTCAAAAACCCTGCAATGGAAAAATGGCACTTAGGGAATGTACCTTGCTACTACCAAATAAAACCATTACTTTCTGGCATTGAGAATGGTCTATTACACAAATAAAACCATTACTTTCTGGTATTGAGAATGGTCTATTACACAAATAAAACCATTACTTTCTGGCATTGAGAATGGTCTATTACACAAATAAAACCATTACTTTCTGGTATTGAGAATGGTCTATTACACAAATAAAACCATTACTTTCTGGCATTGAGAATGGTCTATTACACAAATAAAGGCATGGATAGTCTACGTACATAACTCCTTTGAACTGCAATGTACACATCATCTATCACACTACATGTCTGCATTGATATCAGACCAGGTGTGTTTGAAACTTACTGGACTAGGAAACATGTGACAATGCTACATTGCTACTCCAAAATGTACTTCTCAATACACATTATGGTTGAATGAATTTACCATGTTACGCTCGACCGACACCAGTCAATTATCTCGTCATACTCTCCACCCATAACCACAGAATGATTATCATGCTTCTTACATGAAATGGTGTGCTAGGATGGTAAGTTTCACCCATGTTCCTGACAACATGGTTCACATTCCCTACAGCCTACCAGAGTACTTTACTCACCATCACCAACTATCCACACACTGTCTTCTATTCTACAAGTAATCTCAGCATCGGTTCTAAAATGAGCGCGTGCATGTCACGGACATCGTGTAATAATCGATGGGTGTCGATATTTGTGGTAATAAAATCGTTATGAGTTTCCAATCTGTAACAGACACCAATGTGGTTCACCAGCATAAACACGGTTGCTGTACAGGCAAAGTCTGGCATCTCTGACCAGTACATGAGCCAATATTGAGTCATCCTTCAATGTACAGGCAGAGTGGTGTGCAACTTACCGAATCAGTCTTGTCTACCTTGGCTTTACACTTGACAAGGTGCTTGGCAATATCGATGTAACCCTTCATACATGCTCTATGTAGTGGAGTGTAACTCCATAAATCCTAGTAAGAACAACATAGGTAGTGTAGGCATGTGTACACCCACACACACCACACATGTACAGACCGCCAGCCCAACAACACGTACACACAAACACACGCGTACGAACACACGCACACACACACAGAACACACACACACACACACATGCACACACTCATACATGCACACACACACACACACACACACACACACACACACACACACACACACACACACACACACACACACACACACATGCACGCACGCACAGAACACACACACACACATAGACACACACACATACAGACAGACAGACATATACACACATACTTGTACTTGTTGCTCACTGCCGAAACAGGTCACGTGGCTCTCTCCGGGAGAGGGGAAAGAGACTCGAAAGGAATCTTGGAAAGATGACTCAATTGGCTATTGAACCGCCCAACAGCCGAAACCCCCTGAAATCCGCAAAACTCTGGGTGGACTTGAAAATGATCCCACTTATGGGCTCACCACACCTCAGTAAGTGGGCGAGGACAAGGTGCAGAAAAAGGATTGACGGCATCAGGGTATCCGTCCCGTGATCCAACTGCAGTTACCCCTGCCCCCAGTGAAGGTAATACTTGGTACAGGTAGACTCCCTCTAATTCGAATACGGTGTAATTCGAACATTCCGTGTAATTCGAACTTTTTCGTTGTACCGATCTTCTGCAAGTCACTTCAAGTCAAATTCAAATGCATTATTCGAAGTACGAAAAGTGCGCCCGATGGATAATTCGAACTCTGCCTTCGTACAGAAGAGCAGTTTACAGTACAGTGACTATGTCCTTCGAGCGCTTATTTCGAAGTGAGATGGAGTTGCTCTACTCGTAATTCGAAGTTCATTTTATCTCCTTCTCTAGCCAAGAGTAGCTCAAAAATTGATCTCTGGTCCGCTCCAGGATCGACAATAGCGTTGAAGAAACCCACATTCTCTCGAATGATTTGATCCAAGCCCGTGCAAGACAAAGTGCGAAGATTTGATTGAAGACGACTTCTTCCAGGTGGTTGGCTCCCTTCGCGGATCTCAATGGCTTGTCATGCCGTGCCAGTTCATGCGCAAAGAAGTTTGGGACTGAACAACAACTGGAAGTCGTAAAAATTGCCTATGCCTATGCTCCACTCCCGTTCTTCAGAACGAGGTGCTGGTCTCCGACGGGCTTTCATGACGCAGAGAAGGCAGCGCTGTTCTTTTGCGTTGAAATCGTTTCAGGACAACTGCAGCGATTGAAAACTGCTTCACAGAACTTCGTAGAAGATGAAAATAATGTCCAATGACTTCGTGTCGATCCAGTGTTTTGGTGAAATGAACTGATCTCGTTGTTCATGATCACCTATGTTTCGTTGATGCAAATAAAATGTGCAAAAATAATCAGGACACAATTTCGAGCATTTTGACGTACATATCAGTACATGGGACTGCATTTGGATAATTAGAAGTTCCGGATAATTCGAATTTAGGGCCTGGCAATTTGAGGTTCGAATTAGAGGGAGTCTACCTGTACTAGTGTGGGTGGCTAAATCAGAGTGGATCTGATATAAGCTTCACTAGCCCCATTAATTACACAAGAGTTAATCTAGCCAGAAGTAGTCCATGGTTGACAGGTATGTACAGGTCCTCCCTCGTTAGTAGATAATCTCTGGGCCATCGAAAAAGTTATCTTATAACGAGACTTATCTATACTTCAAATAGAAGAAAATTCCTCCGTATGCAAAAACTTCGTGACTTTTTAACAGTGTTTTTAGTAAGAACCTGCTCAACGAACCGCGCCAAAGGCTGTCATCGACAACCCACATTCATGTCGAGGTAAGTTTGGTTGATCCCGAATAGATTCTCCACGGCAGTCATGCTCGCACGGCAAGATGAAACATTTCAGTCGTCGTGCAACCAGCGCAGACTTCGGATCAGAATGTTGACGGCCTGACTTTCTTCGCCTCTCTCCAGTCAGACGTCTCCTTTGTCGCCAAAGGGAATCGCAGGGACCTCCTCAAAGCCATTGTAAAATGCTGGGAGGATTATCCTGGCGAGAAAATGCGAAGCGTGTGAATGTGCTTGTACGACTCGTTTCACGGCATAATGGATGTTGCGGTTTGGAACGATTGAATAGTCGACACCAATTCGTACACAGCTCTGGAGATGAAGAGGACGTAGCCAAAGTCCAGCGTCGGATCATCACTGTAGCTGACAAGAATCTGAACGAAATGCGAGCGGAAGCAGCGACTGTTGGCGATGCGGAGTCAGTGTCGTCAGGTGACAATGACACGAGCGACGAACACTCTGAAAAAACACAATCTCATTCGTTTGAGTTGCTTTTTTCTTTGTATATAGCTTGTAAACAGGTTAGACAATGCCACGAGTGTTATTCCAAGTCAAACGGAACAATTCCAGAGCTGTGCGCAGCTTTCAAAAAAAGTCACGAAGTTTTTGTATGCGGAGGAAGTATATGAACCCTGGAACAAACAAAGGTGGCAGGTACAACATTACACCTTCAAGCAGCTGAGACCATTGGCAACAGACCCAGCACAATCAGGCATAAGTGTGCCCACGAACCGGACTAGCTGGCACACACACACACACACATACACACACACACACACACACACACACACACACACACACACACACATGCGCAAACGCACATATGCACAAGCATAGCTGCATCATTGGTCGCAATGGTATAGCAATGTTCACTGCTTTTTAAAGAACATTGTTGAGATCGCAAGGGCCTGTAGAAACATGCCCTGCAAGTTGTGGATCTGATCTCTGCTAATTGGTATGTATACTGAAGATGTTCCACTGTATTATACCTATTGACTGAAGCCATACTAAACAATGGTCATGGTTATGTACACAGTATGCCAAGCTAATTTTAATCTTGTAGAAAATGTCTGCAATGCTCTGCTCGTTGTTGTCTGAACAATAGAAGTAGGGACTCTACTGACTCACTCAGTACCCTTGCTGGAAGCATTCAAAGAGGTACTCGATAGGGGATAAGGCAGGGTAAGGGTAATTAATGGATTGACATACATCATTACTTCACATACGGCAGGTCAACAGGAGCTGGCTATCATCCTATGACATAACTATCCATTAGTGACTTCGATTTTTTTTTTTTTTTTTTAAGGTAAACGCTATTTGATTAAAAGGTCCAGGATGATAAACGTAGAAAGGAAAAGGACATATGGATACGAGTTAAGAGTAACTGTCCATCACTGTAACTGGATACTATATACAGTCAGAAAGTGCAATAACTAGTCACAAAACTGACAAGAGTACTGAGACATTCAACGTATATAGTATCCAGTTACAGTGATGGAGAGGTACTATTAACTCGTATCCATATGTCCTTTTCCTTTGCACATTTATTTATGGCTCAACATCCCAGTTTCAAATAATGATAAATTCCTTTGGGATTTCAAGGCAGAGTACTCCTGACGTAGCTAGACATTGACCTGCAAGTCTTTTTTCAGCAGAGTGATACCACCGATATCACATACCTGCATCCACCCATTCTACTCGATATGGCATTTGAGGAATGTCACACTGTTCTGACTACAGCAGTCAGTATCTTATAAGTTGCTAATTTGGGCTGAGTCATATGTTTACTTTCTGAATGCTGTGTTTCACTCATATCTGACATAAAATCATGCCGCAGAACGAGACTCTCGTACTTTAAAAAACTTGTAGTTCCTTGGTCCTTTTTTCTTCTATAAATTAAAAAAACTTATTAAAATGATGTACCTCCTAACCCCCTACCCCCCCCCCCCCCCTCTTAGTGTTCACATATACATGCATTGACTGTCATGTACATGTATGCACGCGACACCGTTTGTGCTGCTATCCATTTACATTTTCCGCTTCCCCTGTACGCATGCACGCACACCACTACATTCTGTTGGCATCATGTCACAGAGCTTTCCAGAGCTAGTTGTTTGGAATAAAGCAAGAGAACAACATTACACCCCCCCCCCCCCTAAAATCCCCCTCTTACCTAACATTACCCCCCCCCCCCCTTACTTTTAAACATTACACCCCTTTTACCTAACATTGCACCCCCCGCTTACCTCCCCGCTTACCTAACATTACACCCCCTTACCTAACATTACACCTCCCCCCCCCCTACCTCCAAGAAAGACGCAATCACATGCACAATTTGCACACATGCAAACACCTCGACATTCTCATTTAAAGCCAGTCAGTGTAAGTTACCGAGCAGTGTGCTTAGCACCTGGGACAGTGTCAGCAATGCAAGTACACATACACAGACCTACCCCATAGCGATGGTTGATGACTGTTTCTCCGCAACAGTCTGCAAGGATGCAGGCACACTCCAGGCGGCCACCATCGCAGGCATTGAATAGCAGCCGACCCTGGTATGCAGGAATGGTATGAACACAAAATCAAGCAACATACACACGCACGCACGCATGGACACACACATACACACACACACACACACACACACACGTACTCACGCAAACACACACACACTCACACACTCACACACACACACACACACATGCATACACACGCACGCACACACACATGCCCACACACACATGCACACACACGCACACACACATACACGAATACACACAAGCATGTATATTCAAACATTGATGTACATCCATATCCATATACTTGTTCTTTCTCACAGACAACAACAGTTGCTGGTCACTTGGGTCTCCCGAAAAGGGGAGAGGGACAATCCAATAATTATGATATTACAAGATTACTTAAGTAGCTATGAAACGACCACTTTTCACACCAAGGTGAATGTCTGGACCCTGGGTGGTTTGGAGATGATCCCACATAGTATGGACTGCTTAATCAGAGTGGGTCTGATAAAGGATTCACTGGTACCATTGATTACACAAAAAATAATAAAAAACGTCCAAAAGTAGTCCACTGGTACATATGTATGTATATTGTGAACAAAGAGTAAGAAAGATAGGAGAAATCACATGGAAACGAGTTACGAAGCAACTATCCACGACTGCAAGAAGATATTACTCAGTCAGAAAGTGCGATAACAGGGCACAAAACTGACATGTTACTGAGACATTCAACGACCTGAGACCTAGCTTTCACACACCTCCAGTGCGCAAACCAACAGCCTTCCAGCTTGGAAGGTTCAAGGTTAATGTAGGGCCAATGAGGGGAAGGTGAGCGCAGCGAAAATGTGCACACGCTAAGTCCCATGGCAACAAAGAATGCTTCCCCTTTTCTTTATCTCTAATATAGCTGACCCACCCAAGTTGGGTGTTGTGTTGCTTTGCTGCTTCGAATTGTAGTTAGACCGCATTGTCATGTTATTAACTGGTCTCGTCATGGTCCTGTAACAGTCAGCATTCTTTGTTGCCATGGGACTTAGCTTATGAACAGTTTCGCTGCACTCACCTTCCCCTCATTGGTCTTAACATAACCTTGAACCTTCCAAGCTGGAAGGCTGTCGGTTTGCGCACTGGAGGTGTGTGAGAGCTAGGTCTCAGGTTGTTGACTGTCACAGTGACATGTCAGTTTTGTGCCCTGTTATCGCACTTTCTGACTGAGTAATATATTGTAACAGTCGTGGATAGTTGCTTCATAACTCGTTTCCATGTGATTTCTTCTATTATAATTATATTTATTGGCTCAGTATCCGAGTTAAAGACTAAGAAGTGTTTATTGAAGTTGACCCCAGCACAGACGACAGGCACAACATTATAACAACAAGCAGTGGAGTCTGATGGCTATAGATCCATCCATGATCTCGCTATAGGCAGCTGTCACACACACGAACGCATGCACATATTCACAAATGCGTGCACGCATGCACACACACACACACAAACATACAAACACACATACGCCAACATACCACCATACGCGCGCGCACGCACACACACACACCTTGTCCTGGTCCTGGTAAACACTGCCATTACGATCACGTGCTCGCTTGCGGAGCCGACAACATGGATCGACGAGTGACGACAGAAAGTGGGCGATTTGCCGAGAGGTCAGGGACCATGTTCAATTGGTACCACGAGAGAGCAATCTCCGGCAGCTATGGATATGGAAGCCATGAGTAGAGCGGAAGCACCGACCACAGGCCCCACAGTGGGCCTTGCAGCATAAGAGATCGAACCGCACGCGCGGTGGCGGAGGAATGAGCTGAGCAGCAATGGTGGACACCGCTGTTCGACATGGAGCTTGAGACGATGCCGTGGGGAGCGCCTGGGAGATGGGGCACTTGTGGACTGCCAAACCTCCAGCACTTCGGAACCAGCGTTGGCAGGCAGAACATTGTCGGCTACCTCTCTATACTGATACAGGTTTGCGGCGCTCACCTAGGCATTTGTGACGAGGCAAACCACTCCTGGAGAAGAGACGACCACACTCGGCACAAGGTACCCGCAGGGGCGCATAAACGGGTTCGGGCGGGGGGCAGAACATTGTAAGCGGCCCGCCGTTCCCGTCTATCCTCGGCAAAGTCGTACCGTTTGTCGATGCCCAACACCGCCAGATCCCTCCGCGCAGCATTGCGCCATCTTTTTCTCGGGCCGCATATCAGACGGACAGGATGCAGGGTACCAAACAGTAGCTGACGCGGGCACGCTCTTCATGCATTTGCACAACATGCTCAAGCCACTCCATGTGGCGCGATGTCAGCAGGTTGGGGATGTCACGGATTCCATCGCGCCAGAACATCAACCCTGGTCAGTCGTTCGTCCACCCATTACGAAACGAATGCAGCGCAGATGGAAAGAGCACAGTGCATCAAGGTCGGGCTTCAATGGCACCCAGCACTCAGCACAGTACAGAAGCAGAGATAACACGCATGCCTCGTACACAAGCCGCTTCGTAGCAAGGGAAAGGTTGCTGTCAAATGCATGTGATGCACCGGCAATGCGCGAGCTGAAATCCGGGGTGGATCGGCCATTCGTGTGAAGGAGGGAGCCAAGATAACGAAAACTATCTACACACTCGACCACCTCACCCGCCACGTCCAGGGGCAGCCGGTCTGCTTCCGTGAGTCCATATCCAGCAGCCATCACCTTTGTCTTGTCCAAGTTGACTGTCAAGCCGACAGAAGACGCTACATATATGAATAGGTCAAGGGCCCGCTGTGCACCATCATGCGTGGTAGCCAGCAAACACACGCACCCACCCGCCTGCCCGCACGCATGCACGCACGCAGGCACACACACACACACACACACACACACAGACGCACATGCACACACACACATAAGCCAGCCCTCAAAACCATGCACCCCCCCCCCCCTCCCCCAACACACACTTACACACCTGTCCTGTAGTGCATCTGTTTCATAACATTACTCATTCGTGTCTCCTCCAGAGAGGACACATGCCCGCACACGCACGCGCACACGCACAGACCGATGCATACACACACAACACACACACACACACACACACACACACACACACACACACACACACATGAGCGCCCAGGGAATGCCTCACCATTTTTGGGGCTGACGCTAGCTTTTGAAACTCACAACAACGTGCTATGATCGCAGCGCAGTGTCAACTTGGAGAATCACACTTTCACATCCCCAAATGAAGAATAAGGCAAGTTCCTGCCACGATGGAGTGTAGGACTGATGCAAGTTTCTGTTACGCCGGAGTGTGGATAGTAGCCAAGGGCTGGCGAACGTAACCTTTTCTGGTTTGAGAACACCCGTCGCAGCTTTCTTGAAAAATCACTTCACATCACTGGACAAGACTCGTCTCCAAGTTCGGAACTCTGTTCTATAAAGTCATCTCAAGACACATGTGTATTGCGTGGCTGTGTCAGGTGTATCTGGGAGATCGTGTACGATTGTCGACCGGGCAGCAGTTTGCGAAGACAACATCGCACAAGAAAAACATGTCGGTAGTCAAGAAGATACTAGGCCAAAAAAGCAGGAACCCCAACGGTAGGAGTAGTCACCTTGTTCAAAAGTATCTTTTCAGTGAAACAGTAAGTATGTCCATTGAAATTGCTGGAGGAATCGGGGAATGGCGATGATACTCGGTGAAGTCATGCCACAGTATAGTCCAGTGGACAGTGGATAAACACAAGCTGTGATCACAATTGGCACGTTTACTCGTGAAACCACACGTTTATTCATTTTTGCTGCCTTTTGGTGCGTTATGCGTGTGGAACGAACCGAAAAGAAAACTCAAACATGTTCTATTTTTCAGCGTGTACATAATGTACATGTCTGTGACCAGTCCAGCAGCAAGCCAACAGCCGCCAGTGCTCCCAGTGTCACCGATGGTTTCTAAGTGCGGGTGGCATTGCAGTCCATCGCTGTGCCCAGTCCAGTTCTGCCCCGAATGTTGCCAATGCCACAAGCTCTTCACCTGTACGCCTATGTATTCGGAAACCGTGCTGTACCGCTCACTGTCCCATTTGTGAACGTTGCTGCAACTCGATCCGGGGCTTTGCTATCCACAACTTGAACCGATCCACCAGGCGCCCAACTGCTGATGAAAGGGACAAGTTCCAATTGCAATGTCAGAATTGCCAGAGGCGTTTCAATAGGCGAAACGACTTATCCCGAAACCAACGCTCATGTCTCCTCTCGTCTCCGTCTCGCTCAACGAGAAACACGTGACCTACATGGCAGTGTATACCAGGACCAGGGACCAGGTGTGTGTGTGTGTGTGTGTGTGTTTGTGTTTCTGTGTGTGTGTGTTTCTGTGTGTGTATGTGTGTGTGTGTGTGTGTGTGTGTGTGTGTGTGTGTGTGTGTGTCAGTGTGTATGTGTATAACTATGTGCATATTACATACCAGTAATGGCTCCTTCCATCCCCTTTTGTTGGTATATGTCTGGTTTGATACACCCTCCTTCAAGGTACCGTCCTCTTGAAGGATTGCCTCCCTCAACTCCTGATGATCGTTCCTCCGTACAAGGCTGAGCAGGTTCCTCTCCTCGGGAAGAGTCTTCGTTGCCATGGTTACACCTGTAGTACACCAGACAAAATGAGAGAAATTCCAGTCAATGCTAATGTATGCTATGTTTGTCATAACTATGCAAAACATCACAATACAATAGACTCTCATAGGCATACCGTGCCACTCCTGCCTGGTTTGGGAGTTGAGTAGAAGTGTGCAGATAAGAATTAAATGCTTGAGGGGCAAGTAGAGTGTCGAGCACACTTGAGGATCTCTACGTACATGTCAAGGCATATGAAATCATACCACATAGTATTTTCCTGGTCAGACAGCAGCACATAAATACTCATGGGATTACTCTACAAATCTTCATAGTGACTTCACAACACGACGGCAACAGCTGCTGGGTTTAATGTTGCAGGAGCAAGAATCCAACGCCCATTTCAACTCCAAAATGCAAATAGACTTTGTCACTCATTTCATGCTATGCAGACTGCCAGTATCCAACATTCACTGGGCTTTTACCATTTTTCAAATCAAAGTGCTTAAAGCGTTCAGTAGCTACAACCAACACCAAACATCATAATTCATGATTATCCTGAAGTTGCCTTTAGCTACAAAGTGGAGGACACCACTGGTACTTAATGTATGCTGTGGGTAGGAAACATTTGAAAAGAAGTTTTTTCAATATAAGGTAAGGGGCCGTCCGTAAATATCGATATTTTTTTCAAGACGATATTTGTTCCTTTCTCCCCGGACACCCTCCCTCCCCCCTCAAAACGAACATACACACGTTTATGCAGGGTATCGATATTTTTTAACAAAGTGTGATCTCCTTGCAAAACGTGACCAAAAGGAACTCCAAATTCACCATACACCTGAGTTTACATTTGCACAGTCTCTCAACCTTGCCATGGCTGTATTCTTGCCACAGTCTCTCAACCTTGCCATGGCTGTATTCTCAACCTTGCCATGGCTGTATTCTCAACCTTGTCATGGCTGTATTGTTGTATTGGTTGACTTTCACTTTGTGTACATGTACATGTAGGTCATCAACTGCATGTTTGCACAGTGCCCGCCCAAAGTTAGAGATCCATATTTTTTTGAAAAGGACGAGACGAACAGGGACCAAATCCCTCCCCCCCCCCACCAAACGAACGAATATCTTCTCTAAAAAAACATCGATATTTGTGGACGACCCCTAATGTTTAACACTGTGATTTATCGGCACATGCATATGGTTTTGTATGACGTGCAGCAGCAAGCTCACAGGTTGCCTTGGTTATAAAATGGCTGACTTGAAGGAAACAAGTTTGCTTTCCAGCGGCAATAAGTCATCTCTTGAGGGTGTCAAAGATTTCGTGTGACTCTGTTTTATGATATGCGTAGTTCACAGTGCAGAGAAATATGTTCCCAACCTGCCCGTCATCATATTATTGTGTTTTCTTGGAGTTGGCAGTCTAAGTTACTCAAGGTCTGACAAGAAGCTTAACGCCGGTCAAGTACACAAACATGTCCTTTCATAACAGCATATATTGTATGGCTACAAAGTAATAGAATATTAGCAAGAGTACATAATCTCCAAGAGTGTGCAACTCTAGCATGGGTGCTGTTCAGACAGAATTTCATGTTCAACAGTGGACTTTTTTTATATTTTATGATGCAATGCGCATTGTACATGTATTATCAGACGTATGCAGGAACTGTGGCGGACAAATCCCCTGTTGAACATGCAGAAATTAGTTCAAGAAAAAAATGTGTGATACATTCATGCCCTGTACATATGTCCTAAATCACCTGTGGAAGGATCATTGGATCGTGAAAAAGACGTCAAGTTGAAATTCGGTCAGGACAGCATGGTATGCAGGTATTGCACACTGTTGTTAGGGGTTATGACTCTTAATACTAGGAAGAGGTTCAGTAAAACAATTACTATTCATTTTCAACCCCCCCCCCCCAACACACATACACACACATGAATCCATGCACACACACGTATGCACACACGTACACACACACACACACACACAATCACACACACACGCACACACACACGCACGCACACACTCAAAAACTAGAGTGCCCCGTACATGCAGGTGTATATTTTTGTCATTTTCACTAGTGATATTCTTTCAAGGATGTGATAATATGATACACAATGATTTGTCAAGATGATAAAGACAAAAACAATTTTTATTCATTGCTGACTGCGCTTCTTGACATGCAGTGTTGCTCAATAAAATCCGGTCGAGTAAGTCAAGTTTGTGCTTTGCAACATGTCACTTTGCATCATAATTCCTTTCTCAGCCTAGCGTTCGCAGGTCTGGGGCTGTGCAACGCCTGGCACGTACTTGTTTGACACGACTGGATTTCATTGAGCAGCTCTGTACTTGATTGACACGACTGGATTTCATTGAGCAGCTCTGTACTTGTACTCCCACGTGATGTATTCCTGCCACGAGTGATAAACGGACATTGTACATACCCACCATGCCCTCCAATCACAACCATGGACAAATACACCGATCGCCCCCCCCCCCCCCCACCCCCCCCCCCCCCCCCCCAACACACACGTACACACACCACACGTACACACACCACACGCATACACACACACCACTCAAGCACCATACACAAACGAACACAGCGGCAAAGTACTCACCACCAATGGCACCATATGTAGCGTGGTCTCTCAATCAGCAAGCACCGCTACCATCTACAATACTTCGCGAACTGCAAGAATTCTATCTCAAGTCTAAAGAAGAACTCAGTCGTAAAATACAATTTTGCGCGAAGGAAATTTCTTTCACCGACACAGCAAGCTGATCTAGAAAAGACGAAGGGCTGGTCTCCAGCCAGTAGATGTTTATACTAGTCCACTATCTAGTCATCTTCACTGTCTGTCAACAGTATGGCTCAACCGACAGCTGAATGATCTGTGCCGTTCTCAAACTCACTGACTGTTATCAGTATTGGCTTGTCCGCAAGCGCTGCATGAACTGCCTGTCCGTAGATCCAAGGACGGTAGATCTACGCGGTGCGTGCGCCTCTCCGTGGTCTTCCGACCTCACCGAGTCAGTGATGTGCTTTTGGAGCCGCGGGCCGCACCCCCGTCATAAACCTGGCCATGGTACGACGACGACGTCATTAATAGACTGTCTTTTGACACTTTTGTCAACAACACTTCTATTTTGGATCCGGAGGTCTAGTACTACTAGTAGTACTGAGTCGTATTCAAGCCGTTTTCTTGGATATGTCCTTTCTACTTGAGAAGGACAGGCTGGAGAACCGTACGGTAGATGTCAAGGAGTCGCAAAATACCGGTATTTTTGCGACTCCCTGGTCGATGAGCAGAGCTGCTAAAATGATGACATCGGATCGCGTGAGTAAAGTATGCCCTTTGCACTGGGCAGCCGGCCCCAGACTTGGGAACCCAGGGATTTTTACTGCTCCAGGCCGCAAAGCTGACTCACTCGATAGGCCTTCATCTCTCCCTCCCGCTCTTGTTTACATGATGCAGTGCGCCTTGGCTATGGCCCTGGTGGATGTGTGCACGCCGACTGCGAGATGTAGCACGTGATTTATCTACATTTGAGGTCAGTGAGCATTATGTCTAGGCATGGCCGGGTAATGCTGGCATTATGTCTAGGCATGGCCGGGTAATGCTAGCATTATGTCTAGGCATGGCCGGGTAATGCTAGCATTATGGCTGGCATTATAGTCCCTTTTTTCCAGGTGGCATAATGCTGGCACTATAACACTATTTCGCATGCGAAATTGGCATTACAAGCATAATTGCCGGTCGACAAAGGTGTCATGCTTGAAGCTGGCTAGGTCCAGTTACGAAAATCGTGCATCTGAACCCGTCCGGCTTCGTCCGGAGACTTGACGTTGCAAATCAACCTTCTCAGTGGATTGTTTCAGACGACATGCTCACCGCTGTTTAAGTTTTTTTCTTCCACGCTTTGGCCTTGATCCAAGACAGCCTTCTTAAACCGACTTTTCCAACTTTCAAACTGGCATTATGGAGTAGTGTGAGCATTATAAGTGGCATTATGAGCATTGCCTTTAGCATTATCGTAGCAAATAACTAGCATCACCCGCCCATGCCTAATTATGTCAGTGTTCTCCTTGGCTGCTTGCGAAAAGTCATACTCATACGAGTCATAGCAAGAGTTCGTGCACAAAACTCAATGCCTGAGTAGATGGGAGTTTTCTTTGTAGAGACCTTTGTTGTCTTGTGGATACATGATATACTGGTAATTATACTGATGTACGTCTGCAAATCTACATGTATGAAGGGCGCAGTTCACGCAAGTGCGCAAACAGATCGCTTGTGTACGATATACAAGCATGAAGTTGAGATTGCTCAATCTTAGCAGTTGTCACGGATGATTTAAATCTGTAACTTCTGAGGTAGGTTTACGGTATGGGTGGACACCCCATCGGCTGCCATCAGCATGTGTGTATAGGGGACGGTTTCAAATAGGACACCGGTTGCAAACCGGAACGGACTCAATATTCACTTTCTCTCTTGGTATTTTGATTAGAAAACATATGTCACAGTGAGACTACGATGTGTTATACTCCGAGCCAAAATTTCATGGCTCTGCGATGACCAGAAGCGCCATATCAAGCAGGTGAGTTTTTGACGTGTTGCTTCGCACTGCGACTTGAGTTTTACGACTTTCGAAAAATCAACTTCTTGTCGCAGGTAAACAGCGGCTCGCCTCTCGCCAATAAAGCACCGCATACCAATCAAAACTAATGGAAGCACACACAAGGCTTATTGTTACTCTGTACTGGCCGTCGTGGAGCGATAGCAATTACCTAATTTCAGACTCAGAGTGAATTTGACGGGCACTCTAAAACGTGTCCGGTTTGGAGCCACCTCTGATTTGAACTTTTTTGAAGCGAAAAATTGGGCAACTTGGAGGCAATGGGTCAACACAAAGGAGTGGCTCAGTTCGATTGACTCTGGCCCCAGAGCAAACTTCAACATGCCAGTTTCCTTCCACAAACATATTTCGAGTGAAAAATCAACGCTGATGATCGGTTTGGGTCTATACAAATTTGGCTGTCAAAACGTCCCGGTATCGAGCCGTCTCCTCTACATTGTATCTTGTTGCTTGGGCAATCGCGTCGAGCGCACGCTCATTGATGTGCGTGTTTTAAAGATAGCGATTGATAACAGTATGTGCCGTCCGTAGTCCGTAAAGAGTTAAACTCACATGCTGTGTCGAACCTCACAGTCCACACCGCACAACTAGCATCTGTCTAACACTGATATGAACAGGGAAGACGAATGAATTCCGAAGAGCGTGATATCCGCCAGCCAATTTACTATTGGCGTGCGTCGTGTACACTATGTCCACGACCAGTATTCTGTGCAAGGTATAGCAATTGTTTGCAAGTAGCTTCTACTGTTCCTGTTTGCAAGTAGCTTCTACTGTTCCTGTTTGCAAGTAGCTTCTACTGTTCCTGTTTGCAAGTAGCTTCTACTGTTCCTGTTTGCAAGTAGCTTCTACTGTTCCTGTTTGCAAGTAGCTTCTACTGTTCCTGTTTGCAAGTAGCTTCTACTGTTCCTGTTTGCAAGTAGCTTCTACTGTTCCTGTTTGAGTTACTACAGTAATTTTATTTTTCACCTTGTCATGCACCTTCTTCACTCTCTCATGACAACCACCTTCATTTTCCTTTCCTCGGGAGACTTCCTAAAAATTTGATAGGCATCCATTCACCTCTGGAGAATCCTTGAAAATCTAGTATCAAGAATGTGGAAAATGTGTCATTCGCACACGTACTACAGACTGGGACAGGTGGTTTTCGGCGTTCGGCAACAACTTGCCTATCCTGTATACAAGAGATCTGCATTGTTCCTGGTTGACAAATGTTATGAACCGTACACACATGTCATGGCAATTATCAGGTGCCCTCCCCCCCCCCCCCCTTTCTCTTCCCTTTCATCTCATCCACCCTTCCAGGAAACTCCCCCGATACGTATCCATTTACTTTTGCAGAATCCTTCAAATAAAATCTAAATGTAACATGTAACATGTAAAATGTAACATTACCAGGAAGTATTTTATATCCATGGTATACTGTCGCTACACTTTAACAACGAATCTGAAAACACCAGTATATGATAACAATGTCCGGCCGCTGGCTGTTTCGACATTGTTAGGTGACCTCAGCGGATCTCAGCGGATCAGAGGAGTTACTGACCGAACCAGTTCCGGATAGCATACATGTACTGTTGCTACTAGACTGAGGATAACAACACATCTGAAAACACCAGCTCATGATGTACGTATTTATTGTTGTTTACCTTGACTCATCTTTCCATTTCTTCATACATGTACATGTACCTCTCTGTTGTTATCTCCATCAACATGGTGTGCCAAATACTCCTCTACTTCTATCTACACAGTATCTCACTATCAGAATAATGGACACATGGATTTTACTCAGCATGGACGACGTCATTAGACATTGATTACATACACACACAGTGAGATGCAAAACAACAGACACCAAAGACTTTCTTCTGCTCAGCTGAGTTTTATCAAAACAATACCAGGCCTGTCGCCTAGCTTGTGATATGAGCCAATTCACGTGTTGGCAACCTTAGTTAGTAGGTGATGTTAGTGCAAAGATTACCAAATCGTTATTGCTGTGATTGCCAGCTAACAGTCACGTGATTGAATTTAACAGCTAGCAATTGAGGTGTAGGCACTATAGTCAGTGACATGCGATATTGACATTTGTGATGGATATGAAAGAATGATGAAACAGAACAAAAATGAAAACTAAATGTACGACTCATACACATAAACAGAATGGGAAATAGGTGTGATTGTGAAGACACATAGCAAGCGGTAAATGTAGTGCCACAAATCCAGACATCCAATGTACATACATGTAGGCATGGGCGGGTAATGCTAGTTATTTGCTGCGATAATGCTCATAATATGAGGATATCATGCCACTTATAATGCTCACACTACTCCATAATGCCAGTTTGAAATTTGGAAAAGTCGATTTAAGAAGGCCGTCTTGGATCAAGGCCAAAGCGTAGAAGAAAACAACTTAAACAGCAGTGAGCATGTTGTCTGAAACAATCCTCTGAGAAGGTTGATTTGCATCGTCAAGTCTCCGGACGGGTTCAGATGCACGATTTTCTTAACTGGACCTAGCCAGTTTCATGCATGACACCGTTGTCGATGCTTGTAATTCCAATTTTGCATGCGAAGTGGTGTTATAATGCCAGCCATAATACTAGGATTACCCGCCCATGCCTACATACATGTGACACGAATCCCAGCACATTCAACTGGTGCGTATGAGTATGATCATTGGCTTTTCCACAAAGCACTGCATCAACTGCCTGTCCGTAATGCCAAGGACGGTCAGTGCGCGCGCCTCTCCATGGTCTTCCCACCTCAACGAGTCAGTGATGTGTTCTTGGCACCGCGGGCCGCAGTCCCGTCATAAACCAGACTATGGTACAAGGACGACGTCATTGGTTGGCAGTTTTTTGACAGTTTTGTCAACAGCACTTTTACATGTATTTGGAACCGTAAGTCTACCGAGTCGTAGTCAAGCCGTTCTTGGACATTTCTTATCTATTTGCTCATGAAACTAACTTGAGAGGCTGGAGTGGAGAACGGTCCGGTACATTTCAGGGAGCCTCAAAGTACCGGTATTTTGCGACTCCCTGGTCGATGCGCAGAGCTGATAAAATTTGACATCGGATCGCGTGAGTCAAGCCTTTGCGCTATTGAACCGGCCCCGGACTTGCGGACCCAGGGATGTTCACTCCTCCAGGCTGCAAAGCTGGCTGAGTCGATCGGCCTTCATCTCTCTCTCCCTCTCTCGTTTACATGATGCAGTTCGCCTTGCCCCTGGTAGATGTGTGCATCCCGACTCGGACTGCGAGATGTAGCACGTGATTCATCTACTCGTG